AAAAGAGCTCAGGATTTAGCTCAGAAGGGCAAGCACCTCTCTGGCAAGTGTGAGGTCGTGAGCTCGATCCCTGGTACCAAAAATAAATAAATATAAAAATAAAAATTAACAAGAAAACAAACTTAAAAGTACTTAAAGATAGAGATCAATAGTAATTAAGTCAGGAATGAAGATATTTTGAAGCTTTAATCAAGGAAAAGAAAGATCAAAAGGTAGATGGATCTATAATATGTTAAAACAAATGTGGAAGCCAAGCATAATGATGCATGTCTGTAATCCAAGTCCTGTGGAAGGCTGAGGCAGAAGGATCAAGACCCTGTCTCGAAACTTCAAAAATTAAAAGTAAAAAATGGCTGGGGGAGGCAGCTCCTTATGAAGGCCTGTGTTCATTTTCTAGCAATACATATACACACGCGCGTGCATGTACACACACACACACACACACACATACACCAAAGCAAAAATTAAAGAATAGATGCTCAGCAGCCATCAAAAGTTCCAAATGTCTTCTTCCATATTTCTCTTCTTCCTTTACGAATCTAAAAAAAAAAAGAAGACTAGCCCTATGTATTGAGTAATGACAAGTTTATTGTAAACAACCCTGGTTTAATACAAAATCACACAAACACACATACACACAAATCATATCCCAAGAAACTTGTTGAGTACTCCCACAAACCAGTATCAGTAGGTCACCTTATTTTGTTTAAAGAACAGAAAAATTGTTTGCATAAAGTTCCATTCTGCTTACAAACATGCCTGTGAACTCTCACACTGATGTACACAGCTTGAATATCTTTTAGCAAAAAAGCTTGGGATCAGCAGGGTTTGAATTAATACTTTTTCAGATTTTGGAACATATGCATATATAAAGTGAGATGAATGGGAGGCAAGGCTCAATTCTAAACCAGAAACTCATTTATTTTTCATATATATATACAGTCTTTTTAAGATGCCTACATTTTGATGGCTACCACTCACATGAGGTCAGGCTTAGAGTCTTCCACTTGTGGCAATGTGTTTGTATTCAAAAGTTCTGGATTTTGAGGCAATTCTGATTTGGGAATTTTTTATTAGGGACAGTCATTTTCTATTTCAATAAATTAAAAAAAAAACAATGATGTGAGATATTGTTTTAATTTAATTGTTTTAATTTAACTACAATCAGTTAAATTATAGCAGTCTGGAATTTATTCAAGAAGTTGGTGAAGATGATTGATAGCACTCCATAACGCTGCATTTATTTTTGATAAATTTATAGATTCAATAAGCAAGGTATTATGTTATTAATGGTTTCAGTGATTAGCTTCTTAGTTTGGCTGCAAATCAAGAACAGATTGGATATTCTGCAATACATGCTTTGCTTACTAAATTTAATCTATCAGCAGTCAGAAGAAAATACTTAAGCAAGGCTAAGAAATGAAGAATGTTGACCATGCTTTTGTTTTAATGAGAGTTTATAAGTACCCTTTTTATTAAAAAAAAAAAAACTGGTTGTTATAGCAGCTTATGAGTTATAATACCAATCATTTAAAAAAATATGACTAGAAAGACCAGACAATTCTAAGGGCATTTTAAATCCTGCAAAAGTACACATTCCTAGAAACAGTGATATAATGAAAAGTTAGCATAGAATCTAAATGGATAACTATAAAAGTCATATCATTGGGGCTGGGGATTTAGCTCAGCGGCATAAGCACCTGCCTTGCAAGCAGGCAGTCCTGAGTTCAATCCCCGATACCGATAAAAATGAAAAAGACAAAAGACAAACAAACAACAACAACAAAAAAAAAACAAAAAAGTCATATCATTATACAGTGAAAACTTAATACATACAAAATGTACCTACAGAAATTTAAAGACTTAATAAGCAGTTTTAAAGAGCAACAGTAAAATTCAGGGAAATTATTCTACTTGTTTCTTGAAATTATTTTTCTAAGTGGAAGAAAAGCTGATTAATGAGTCAAGACAAATTTCTAAGATGAGAGTCAAATTTTCTTGCCAAAAGTGTTGCCTAAGGACTGTATTCAACAAATCATAGTAGATTCTCCAAACAGACACAAGTCAGAGGTGATTCAACAATTTCAACCTAGAATTAATTCTATAATGCTGATCCCTTGCTTAGAAGGCAAAAAATGCTTTTGTTCTTTCTTTAGCATTATACTAAACACTAATTTGTGAAGAATAAATGATACATTATACCATTTAATCATAAAATATGTTTTCAAGTCACACTCTAATGCAATTTGCCTCCTACCGAGGCTTTTGTATTTCTATTAGAGTATTATAAAATTTGATTTTTGAAAGCATGGGTTCACTGCCTAATATATCAAAATAAATATGAACATTGGATTAGATTTATTTGTATTCTGAAATTCAGTGTTGGCCATAAACCTTACAAGAATCATCATGTAACCTTAGAGTTTAAAATAATTTTATTTGGAAATGTGTGTTTTGAGTCTATAAAATTAGGAATACGTATTAATTATGAAACAAATAATACTTATATAGTTCTCATTTCTGTGATGTGGGTATAATGATATTTTTAGTTATGAAGGCACACAGCATTTGCTTATAGTTTTATAAACTCTAATAGCCTACTTATTAACATTCCAGAACCACTAGTGTGACATTTTCTCATTTGAGTTTGCTCTTCTAAACACTAGGTTATTTTAAATTTTAAAAAAAGTCTTTAAAGTTTATAAATGATATTCTCTCATATTTAGTTTATAAAAAAACTTTTTCAGCGTTAAAGTTTGAAATTCACATTTCTTAAGTACAAATGGAAGACAGCATCAATTTGTTTATAAACATGCTTGTGTTGTTTTCCATGAGGACTGCTTTTCACAAGGCAAAACCATAAACAGTGAGTCTAGGAAAAGATGTTATGCTGTAAATTTACATGTGCACTTGGTTTGGTAAAATGAAGTTCCGAAATGACATTTCAAACACTCTTAATGCCATAGTTACCAAAGAAACATACAGTGTCATTTGCTTGAAGCAATCTTACAATTAGGCTACATATTCAGCTTTTATTGTATGGAATCCTGGAAAGCTTGGATGGGAGAAAGAGCCTGAGAATTCCAGGAAGTGGGTTCTCTGGCCTCTTTAGTTGCATGTTCCTGCACAGTGACTCTATGAAAGCACCCTGGAGACAGTAGTTTGTACAGTCCCAACTGTTAGAAAAACTGGGATTTCAAGAAGACAGGAAGGGAAGAATGAGCAAGGACTCCATCAGAGAGCAAAGGGCATCAAAGGCCAACCTAAGAAGACTACTCAGGCCACCCTTAGCTGCAGCTCAGCTCCATGCTCTGTCCTGGCTGACAGCTGCACTGGTGACAGATTTGAGCTCTGCCACAGAGCTGTGATCAGCAATAAGCCTCCTTCCTAGACAACCTCAAGTTTTCACCTGGGATTTGCCCTCTATCTCTCTGAAAAGGAATTAAGTGTGAGCTGGAAACTTAGAAAAGCCCTTGAGAGCAAACTGCAGGTCTGATCCCAGAAACAGCTCTCCCTTACCCTGGGGGGCGCCCAGCAGCCCTAGGGGTGCCAGGCTGGAGCAGGGGGCTTCCCTATCATTTTACTGGGTATTCCTGACCCTTTCAACCCTTACTCCTCAGCTTTCTACAGATTATAGGAAGTTCAAGTAAGGGTCCCTTGTGTCCTTGGGGTACCACTCAGCGCCTTCAATGCAGAACCGAATACAGGCAGAAGAGAAGCAACCTTCTTTCCTTCCTGTGACTCCAACACCTGCCTCTGCAGATTCTCCCTAAGGACTGCTAGGTACACCATGGGTGATCATGCTCTTTCCATTACTCCTTTGTTCAACTATCATGAAAGGGTATATTTCTTTGCTTTTCTTGTGAGAAAATTAACGAAGTCTTTCCTCCTCTTTCCTCTTTGCAGGTTGCAGTATACATCCATTCAGCAGAAACCAAAGAGAATGTTCTAGCTCCAGGCCACTGCCCCAGAATTCCGGAGCTTCTCACAATTAGAACTTTGAGGGCAGAGAGGCTGAGAGACATCCAGGGAAATCGGAAAGCCGGCGCTTCCTCCTCCGGGTCGAGTCCCTTCCCTCTTCTAGACCAGCCTGACCTGGCAGTTAACAGCTGCCAGGAAAGTCTCGTGCTCCTGTGGGCACCTCCAGCCCATCGCTCCTCCGCCCCTTCGCACCCACCCAGTCTGAGCAGCTTTAAGCCCTGGCGTCCATCCTCCTCTGACGCCCCCGCCTGTCTACACCCCAAGTCCACCCAAGTTAGGCTTCCCTGTTACCTCCTTTTGCAGGTCACTAGGTAAGTTTGGCGCTCCGGAACCTAAACGATTCTTCTCAAGTCAGGTAAAGCATCTCTAAAAAGTAGGCGAAGGTTTCCATAAACTTTGGCGCCGCGGACTGTCTCGTGTCAGTGGACGACTGCGTGAGCACACACCTGCTTGCACACGGGCGCAGGTACACAAGCCAGGGCGCACACGCAGCCTACCACTGGGCAACAGTTAAGGACATACTAAACCTGCGGGGACGCGTGGCGCTGATGGGGGATCAAAAACAGAATTTCAAAATGAGCTTAGGCAGCAGGGACCAGAAAATGGTGATCCTTAAACACACGCATCCTCGCAGTCTGCACCCAGAGCAAGCGGTTCCACCCAGAGGCGCACACTTTGGAGGGCGACAAGAGCATCCTGGAGTCGCGGTGTAAGATTCTCCTCCAGGCACAATTCTGTTTGGAACTGACGAGCCTCGGGTCTCCCGGGCTTCGGTACGGTGCAGACCAGCCCCGCGCATTGAGGTCTGGCACCGGGGTGCTCCAGCAGCCCTCAGCCGCGTCCCCACAGCGCCCAGGCAGGTGTGGGCCCCCCGCCCGACCAAGCAACAAGCGAACTGCCCGGGAGGGCGGGCGTCTCGGCGTCTGTCCCCGCGCGGGTCACCTCTCCCCACCCCCACCCCCGAGCGGCCACCCGGGCCGCGGGAGCGCACGGGAAGGAGCAAGCCGCGCGGAACTCACCCCCAGCTTTCTGCTGCGGATTTTCACGTAGCCCTGCTTGACTATGTCGTTAAAGTTGGAGGCCATGGCCGCGCGTTCCGCTTCCCGGTGCGAAGCCGCCGAGCCCGCGGGGGGCGCGCAGCTCTCGCGTGCAGCAGGCGCCTCCACAGCCGCTCGCCGCCGGATCCGCCCGGAGCGCCCGCCGGCGGGGACGCGGGCTCGGCGGCAGGGCCGCGCGGACGGGAGACGGGCCGGCTCCGGGCGCCTCGCGCCCCGCGCTCTCCCAGCCTCGCCTTCCCCCGCCGCGAGCCGAGCTGCGCGGCCCGCGCCGCTGCCCCCGGCGGCGCCCTCGGGCTGGCGCCTCACTCGGCGGCGCACAGCTGGCCGGAGCGCACCAGCGCGGCTCCCCGCGGGGGGAGGGGAGGACGGCGGGGCGGGCCGCGTCCCAGCCCGGTTCCCTCCCCCCGGCCCGCAGGGCGGCTGGGCTGAGGACGCCGGCGGGCGCGCTCCATCACTCGGGCCGGCGGGGAGCCCCGCGCGCCTCCCGGGCCCCGCACTCTCCCGCCCGGGCCTCTGGCCGCCGGCTCCTCCCGGCGGGAGTGCTAGAGCCAGGCTCCTCTCTGCGGGCTGCTACTCTCCCCTCCCGGGCAGTGCACCCGGGAAGGGCGGCGGGAGACCTGCACCGTAGAAGCCGGCGGGAGCCAGACATTGTTTATTTCGGTAGCCGTGTTTACAAGGCATTTTTATCCCCAGGCTCACGCGGCCGCCCCAGGTCTCTGCCCCGTTAGGAAGTGTAAATCGACGCCGAGCCCTTCCTGCTGCACACAAAGAGACCATCGTGCGCATGTGTCCAAGCCTGCCGCTGCCGGAGAGACCGGAGCAGTCAGGCGAGGCGGCCGGTCACTACTGAAGCAGCGCCGAAGACAGAACCTGGTCGCTGGGTTTATGCGAGCGTTTTAGTAACCAGGAGTAAAGCTGCCTCGTGGCTCTTTATCTACTCGGGAAATGCAGACTGTAGCTGTTAGCGGTGGATGCACTGAAATGGTCAACTCGTAAAAATAAAGAACTTTCTCCCTAATGCAGGAATGCACGCTTAAAAGTAGATTTTTCTCTATTGCAAAGACATTTAATTTTTGGAATTACATCATTTTATAAAATTCAAGGAAAGAGGTTTCCAATTAAGATAAAGGTATAAAGATTGAAAAAATGTAATGGCTCCTTTACTAATAAAACATTTGTAGTAAACCAATGTTTGTTTCTGCTAATTGCAGAAAACAGGATTTTACAAGATTCTTATTTGAAATATCTTAGCCCCATTTGGGACATAATCATTTTGAGAAAGGAAAGAAGCAGAATTTGATTGAAGGGAGGAAAACTAGGAGAGCTTTTAAGACACTGTAGCTTGCCCTTCTCCCCATTCTCATGAGCCCTCCAAGGATGACTCTGTCCTAACCCATGAGTTGGGACACAACCCAGTGGAAATTCTGACGTGCCTTAGCAGCTCCGTTCCCATTCATGCACTTCTGTAGTGAGCACTGGGGAAGATGGGGAGGCGTCCACCGCAAACTAAAGCCGGGAAGATACTTCAGAAGGCAAAGTCCTTTGGGTAATCACTAGGAAATGAGCCTGTATCTGACCTTCCCGGAAATTTGCATAAACCCCCTATCAACTCAGTGTGATTCCATCCTCTAAATGCCTGAGATAGATCTATCCCACTCACTTGTGAACATTTCACGTATATTTTGGCTATCATTTTTTAACATAATGACTGCTTTGAACTTGTAAACGTTTTAAAAACATGATTTCCTTCATCTGTCTTGCCAACCATAAGTCGTAAATGAAGTATACTTGTCATTTAAGATAAGGAAACTGAGGCTGAGAAATGTTCTGTAACAGAAGCAAAATTTCAACACTGACTTTGTCTAGGATAACTCAGGATCATTAATCACCACTTTCATTTGTATAATAATCTGCTTTCACAGAGGTCAGGGATTCCCTTTGTTTCACTAACAGTTTTGCATCTACATAATGCTAAAGAACAAGTTGTAACCCTGACTTAAAGATTTTATGATTGCACCTACAATCATATGTCAATGAATGTCTTTATAACACAATAGTATGTTTAAGTGATTTATTCTCCACAATTTATTTCAATTTTAAAATTTCTGATATAATAATCATATATGTGCCCCTCCTTTCATGCTGTTTGTTTTCTCCAGGAAAACACAAGTTTACTTCATATAGACATACATTTTTTTTCCAATGCTGGATGTGACCCATGGTAACCTTATAGATCATTTAATATATTAACATAAGTATCACATTTCCTGTTAACTATCTGTTTTTGCTGCCAATGATGATCACTGCTCAAATGCGTTATTTCATGAGTGATTGTAAAGTTATGATTTTCTAACTTTATTTAAATCTTGTATTTATGAATTGTTGTTCTCTTCTTAAAAATAAAACAAAAATAATGTTCCCTTACAAACTATAGGTTTGCCCTGAAGTAGATACCCTTTTAAAAAGGCCAACTATGTGCTTACTAGTTTTATTAACTAATTTTTAGAAATATCAAATGGATTTTCACAAATGCAAAGTGAACCTGCTCTGTTAAGACACATCAGTATAAAAAAATGTAGTTTTTGTTTTTGATGCATTTCCATTCCCTGTAGTAATTATTTTTATGGGTTTTTCACCATGAGGAGCTGTTTTACTTGACACATGGATGTTTTTAAAAGGCACTTAAGGTCTTACTAGTCTTAACACAAGTGTTCTCAAGCTCATCTTGTATGTTTCTTACTCCAGGTCAAAAATTCACTATTTCACTTGTGGGACATTGGGGTTTATACCTAACATGTTTTGCAAAGCTCTCATGAGTTGATAGGTAGGGCTTTGGAAGGTGACTGGATCCTGGGGGCTGGGAAGTGTTTATATTAGGTTTATCCAACAATATTTTAATTTATGGGAGACAGACTCATTAGATTGTCTCATTAGTTTCAAAAGTTTATACAAAATAAACACTCTTTCCTCAGGAGTGCCGTGTAGAAGAATTATCCAATACCTGTGTCAAACAAAGTGCTAGAGAAACAAACTCCATTTTATTCGTTTTTCTTTATTATTACTTATTTTGGGGGGAGAAAACTGAGTTAAGACATCTGTGACATCCTTCTTCTCCTGCTTAATGAAACTGCCAAAAGATACGGCTATATAATGCGTCCACCTCTTAAGTCTATCTGAGATTTATCCTGAATATCATAATCTGAATATCAGAATACATCTTTTTTTCCTATTGCTAATGTCTTTCCGTGTGGTTCATATATTGTGGGGGAAAATGTATATCCTAGAATAACATCTGACAGTGTAAGTTCATCTCAATGTCCAGTGTTTGCATTATTACTTTATCAGAAGTCCTGATACTGTAGTGTGAGCCTGTGCTCCCCCAGTTTCCCACTGGGTTTGCCTGAAGCTGTAAGAATTCTCCCAGTGAAAGAAAGAATTTTTTCAGTGAAAAAATTTTAAATGAAATATAGAGTATTATCATTTGTAAACACTAATTTGTTTTTTCATATCATTGTCTTTGGTACACTTTTGTGATTTTCTTCATAAGCATTAAGTTTATATATTTCTTTTGTAATTCACATTTTGGCGACTTTGCTCTCAGAAATAATAATTTTGTTTATGAAATTTATCCAAAGTAGTAGATTATAGATAATATCACATTATCATAACACCTTCTTTACAATTCAATTCTATTACATTTTGTTTTCAAATAAAATTTTATATCTTATCCAATATTTTTGCTTTAACAGTTTTTCTCATTTTCTTGGAATAGGTGTAAGTTATTGAAAAATAGTGATAAATAAGCTAAAAAAGTCATTTCACAATATCATAGAAAAATGACTGGGGAGAAATTAGCTAAAATGTTGACTACTGATTAAAATTGTTCAATAATAATTAAAATGCTTACTACTGATTAAACTAAAACAGTTTTCAAAGTATTATGTTATGAAGTACTTTTCAAACAAAGTGGATATGAAATTTTACTAATTTTTTTCTTCAGAATTCATTATAACATAACATACAGATTGCATATCAAGCATTATAAACTAAGTACTTATATACTAAGTAAGTACTAAGTAATTACTATATTTATGATTGTTGATCATCTCTGTCTACTCTAAAATGCATCTTATTTGGTAATGTATAATAACTCATTCAATCAAATACTGATTCCTTCAGCATATGAATATTGAGGGTATGGAGAAATATCTATAACTGGTGAGATTAGTTTGTAGTTTTGTATTTTATTTCTGTCTCTTTTAAAAAAAGGGTGAGGACCTTTAACTCAGCATGCATAACAGCCTGCATAGGGTCATGAGTTCCATCCCCTTTACAAAAAAAAACAAAACAAAACAAAACAAAAAGGTGAAATGCAAAATGTTATCGATGTTGAGAAGCATTTAAATTATAAAAATAACCTATTTAGTTGAATTTGACAGCATCATTTATTCTGCATATTTCAGAAGTTGGTTCTTTTATCACTTTAAAGTCTTCCTGAGTTGAACAGTACCCCCAGGTTTGCAAAAGTTTCATTTGCTACTGTTATCAATTTTTAGATACAAAATCTTACGATATAAATAATATCTTCATGATTTTAAAATTAACATTTCATGTTATCAATATAGTTTTTAAAATCCCTTTGATATATATGGTTGCAATGTCTTTTTTAATATTTTACCCCTTTCTTATAGATTATGTTTTCTAGATGTAGGCCTGTTTTCTGATTAATCAAATTTCATTAATAGTACTTATATTTTTATGCCTATCTTTAATATGTACACATTGTTTAAAAATATCCCAAATTTCCTTAGAGTTGAGAACTAGCTTTGTTTTCTAACTTTACTCAGACATGGTGCCCTTGCCTAGAATCAAACATATATTAAAAGTCGGATTTGTGGTTATTTTAGTGATTATTCCATAGTTATATACTTTCATTATTAAGTTCTGTACTTTTTCTTGATTTTTCAGCTTTGAAATTTATCTAATATTGGCTTTCTTTGAGGACAAATGGCCATTGAGCTCAGTTGTACCACAAACCTAACACCTCTATCATTTGGTCCAAATATTAATTACTTTTATTTTTATATTCACTCTTCTCTCACTGTTTATGACCTAAATTTTATCCCCCAATATTCGTATGCTGAGATTGTGGCTGTATTTTAAAAGGTGGTCAGGAATATGTGTTAAGACTGTGGAATCTGATGTAATAGAGGGAAAAGATGGGTTTGCTTAAATGCATCCTTGATGGCGCTATGATGTGTTCTTTCTCTGAAAGTTTTGAAACAGTGAAAAGACCTTTTTGCATTTCTCCATTCTTGTTTTAAAAGAACAAAAATCTCAAGCCCAACAAATGGCTTGTGTTAAGCTTTATATTTGAATTAAAGATTGTTAAACATTAAAAAAAAAAAAAAAAAGGTAATCAGTTTAAAATGAAGTCACCAGGCTGGATTCTAATCTAATATGACCATGTCTCCACAAGAAGAGAAATGTTAGACACAGGCAAATAAAAGAGAAGATAAGTTACAGAGAGAAAATGCTCACCTACAAGCCAAGGGGAAAGAGAAAACCAGCCTTATTCACATATAGACCTCAGACTTCTGGCATCCAGAATTGCGAGAAACACTTTCTTTGTTTGAGCCACCCAGCCTGTGGGACTTTGCCATAGAAGCAATATCAAATAATACACTGTATCACTGTAAACATTTTATAACATTCATTGAAAAGTCTTTACATATGACTTTACATTT